GAAGCAGAGAAGAGGGTGTTTGTTTCTGCTGGGGGTCTCTGCAAGACCCACTCATGCTGTTCCCCTGCAGAGTGGATGGGTCTGGGTTTGAAGCATTGATCGCTCCTGTTCTCCCACTGCCAGCTCAGCTATGGACACTGCCCCTTCAGCCCTCACTGGGCAGGCTTGGAAACTCTCTGGGTTGTTGTTGAGTTGGTTTTTTTCCCATTTAATGCATAGAATAACACTGATGGGTCTGAACAGCTCCAGCCAGGCGACGAGGGGAAAGAATAACAAGCTCCTGAATGTCAGGCAAAATTATGGGCCATTGCTATTTAGGGTGAGTCTGGTGGATTTAGGGCCTCTCTGTTCTATTGTCCTGGCTGCTCTGAGCATTGGAGCAGGCGAGACACAAGTCGGGAATTTTATTGCAGAGCATGTTCAGGGGAAGGCTGGTTCTGAGCGTTTCCGGAGTGAAACAGCAGCAGTGGGGGAGAGGGCACCATCTCTGTTGGAAAGTTGGTGAGATGTGATACCAGAGGCTGGAAGTCCTGATGGTTATCCAGCAGAGAATAGAGCCCCTTTGCATCCTGGTTTCTGTCAGGATTCGGCTCCAGATGTTCATCAGGCTCCCCAAGGCTGTGCAGGGTTGGTCTCCATCCATCAGACCTGGGCTGACTGTCCGGCTGCTGCATCCTTTGGCAGGCCCTGCTGGTCCCCACTGCATCTCAAGAGCACATGGCTCCTCGTCTTCTCTTGTGAAGCGTTCAGGAGTGTAGTGCATATGAAAAACAGTGCCTATATGTGTGTGTTAGATGGACATCAGGGGTTTTGGTGTTGCCTCTTGGATTGCTTTTGGCTGGCACTGGTAATGTAACCAGGGCTGGCACTGCACTCGCATTGCCAGGCGTTAGGAGAAGGGCCCAGCTGAACAGCGTAAGCATAGGAGGACACAGAAAGGCTGAAGAAGGTGTTATACGGTGTGATAAAAATGGGTTGTCCATGGGAAAGTGAAGTCTTCACAAGCCCTGAACAGGGTGTACCCTAAGCTTCAAGATTTTGGCAAATACATTCTGTCCCATGCCAGGGTGGGGAGGAGTGGCAGAGCAAGAAAGCCATTCAAGCCTGGCTGTCTGCATAGGTGTGAGGCTCAGCAGGGTGAATTCTTTGCTTCTTTGGGGCTCTTTTTATTTGACTGGATTAAAAAGCCTATTTGAGTTTCTTAAACCATTTAATCTAAAATCCCCAGGTAGATGCGCCACTGGATTCAGTTTTAAGCTTATAAACAAAATAGGTCTGTGTTTGTCTCTGTCATTTTGTTCTAAAGAAGAAGGGTTTGACTTCTTCCCCATGGAGCTAGGGGGGAATTGAGCCTATGAATCCCTGTGAGCTCTCTGAAGGGTGGGGAAGTGCAGAGACTGGGATGCTGGTGTGACCTTGCTGCAGCTCCAGGTTACATGTACATGTGGCCTGGGCAGGTGCCAGGAGGAGGGAGCAGGGGCTGGGCTCCACTGACTGCCCCCCAGGGCACCGAGTACTGAGTGAAGGTAAAACTCCAGTTGAACCATTGCTCTGCAATTAGTTTGGGTATGTGGCAAAGGAGAAGACCATTGGAGATGGGAGAAAATGGGAGGAAAGTGTGGAATGGTGTGGGTAATTCCAGTCCCTGTAGTCCTTTGAGAGGAGCTGGTTCTCCTGTGCTCCTAGAGTGTTCAGCTTCTTTCAGGGTTTCTTCCTGCATCCATCCTCTCCATGCAGTCTCCTCTTGTCTCCTCTACAGTGCCCTGCAGCTTATTGCTGCCACTCCCTGTGCTTCAGAGGAGGTTCCGTTGTCCCCACAATGAGACAGTTCAGGATTTTTTGGCAGGAGACTGCTGATGTCTGGAAGCTGCAGGAATGTCACAGGTCTGTGCCCCATAGTGCCAGAAGCTCCAAAGGGAGGTACCGAACCCACAGCAGGCAAATCATCTGCCCCTGTGTCCTCTCAAAGTGCTTTCCATGTGTCCAGCAAGATCACCTCAGGTCAGTGATGCCTGCACACATGTGTGGGGTGACAGTGGCATTGCTCAAACCAGCTGAAGTGGGAGTGGGAGCAGTGTCCCTTCCAGATCCTGTCCCCAGTGCTGGGAGCGCAGCAGAAGGACTGGGCCGTCCAGCTCCCTCACGCAGCCATGGCAAAGCTTGTTCCAGCACGGCCACAGAAGGGCCAGGAGGGCAGGCTGTCCTCACCTCTTGCGGTCTTTGCTGTGAGCAAAGAGGCCTCCCATGTCCAGGGCTCTCAAGGAGATGCTCTGTGTAAGGGGAAGGTGGGAACAAGAGTGTATCCTGCCCACCTTCTCCCCAGGAACTGGGAGAGACAGGCATCTGTCCGATGGCAGCTAGGATAGGAGGGAGCCCTGTTGGCTTTGCCGAGGGAGCCTCTTTCTATATGGAAATGAAGAATTTAGGCTAATGGAGCTCAACCATCTCTAATTTTGCGATGGCAGGAGGATTTTGATTGAAAGTAATTAAGCAAGCTAGCTGTAAAATTAATTAAAGCAAAAGGGGGGGATTTTTTTATTGGATTGGATAGCGATATAGCGGCTGTCAAATGGGGGACGGATGGGGGTGACCTGAATTCTCTGCCCTCCCTCCTCCCACTCGGGACGTTTATGTCACTTTAATCTCCTTACAGCGGCTGGTGTGCATTTGTTTGAAATAATCAAGGAAATATGGTCAGAAATTGTCAGCTTTCAGATCTAATTTACCTGACAGCCCTGCGCAGGCCAGTAAGCCTCTGTGTGTGCGCGCGTGTGTGTGTGGTACATGAGACTGTGTGGCCATGGAAGACTCGGCGTCTCCCCTCTCCCCTGTTTTTGTTCATTCTGTCTTCTCTTGATTCTTAGCAAAAATACTTCTGACATATCTGGGGCCACCCAGCACCTTGCAGGAAAAATAAATAAGTTTGACAATTTTCCTGCGGTCCCTTCTCCACCCCCACCTTCCCATGACTATCTCCTCCCAACCTGCTGCCTCATCCTTGCACCATAACCAGCTTTAGGGTTTAGGCAATATAGGATTAGGGGAGGTGGCTGTAATTCTTTATTCCAGATGGCTGGCAACTGCTAAACCCACTGTCACAAGCATCGAGTTATAAAAATACTTAAATTAGGCCCTTTGTTTCAGCCCATGTCCCTGCCGAGCAGCTCTCCTGGTGTCCTGCCGGGAGCTCAGCTTGCACAGAACAGGTGGGGCACTCTGACTCCAGACTGTGATGGTGCTGGGGAGAGGCTTCTCCGGACTCACACCTACCTGGATTCCCTTGCTCAGCTCCATCTGCTTCTTTTTGCCTTTAGCTCTTAAAGAGAGACCTGCAGCAAAAGAAGAAGCTGGGCATGAGTTAGTGTATGCTTGCTTAGCAGTTGAACATCCCAGTCCAGGGACGTACAAAAGCTGCAGTTCCTACCCATCTGACTGTGTGGGTTTGGGGAATGCACATTCCTGACAGAAATCCCAGGCTTCCCCCTGGACATAACCCTACAAAAACCTGGTGACCTGAGCTCAGTGTACTGGAAACTGGGGAAGGAGGGCAGCTACTGTAGGACCAGTGTTTCCTCAGAGCTGCCCTGGTGCCTCACATCTGTCTTGCTAGGTTAGCTCTTAGGATTATTATTTACTGTTTATTATTATTCATTAAGCACCATGAGAGTTTGGGCTTTTGTTTGTTTTGTTTGGGTCTCCATATAGAGGTCTTTGCTGAGGCAGACTCTGGTGCCAAGACCTCTGGCGTTTTTACAATTACAGCCTACAATCCTACTGTATTGTTTATGTAATGACTCTCAGTCCCGAGGGATTCTGCAGCCTTTCTTAGGCCAGAGCACCCAGCACCTGGCAGGGAGAGTGCAAGGCAAGTGCCGGACCCTAGTGCCGAGGAAAATCTCTGGGCTTTATGTCCCAGGGAATCATTAATATGTAGAGGGCTCAGGCTGGACCTGCTGTGAGGATCCACATGCAGGGGAGTTGATTAAGCTGCTTCAGAAGGAACAGATGATTCATCCCTGCCTGGTGTCTGTGGTCACAGGGTCTCTTAGTAGCTCAGACCTGATGTTGTGGCTGTTGGGTGTCTGCAGCCCACCAGTCTGTCTCTCATACAGGGAGCTGAATTGACTGGTCCATGTGGTCCAGCTGCTGTAACCAGTCCCTGAGTGTCCCAGAGCAACCCAAACCATCTCAGCAAGGGGATTGAAACATCTAGTTGTTAAGGAGGTGTGTGGAGGGCTCCACGCCAGCTCTGTAATCTGCAGGATATGGGTAGGACTGGTCATGACCAGCAGCATGGGACTGTGCTGAGGTGGGTGATGAGCTCATCACCATGATTCTTGGGTTTAATTCCAGCTTTGCCACTGATTTGCTTTGTATCTGTAGCCATGTGAATGCATAGCTTTGTGCCAGTGCTACACTTCCTCATCAGTATAATGGGAATAATTAGGCTTCCCTGATTGAAGATGGCGCTGAACACTGAGTGTGCTGGCAAATTGTTTGCTTTTGTTTAAAAGTCCCTTCTGAAAAAAGGAGGTAAAACCAGATTCTAGGGTGCTGGTTCCCATGTTATATTACAGACATATGTGGGTTAAGGTCTCTGACAATACCCAACCCTTTTCTTGTGGGACAGGTCTGCTCTGAAGAGTTGGCTTCCCCTAAACCTAACAGGACAGAGTTAGGTTAAGACCGAGAGTTTCTAAGTACTGTCTCCCTTGTATTCAGCAAAATACAGGATGTGGCACTGCTGATCTTCTGTGTTAATTGCAAATATAACAGAATGTAACATGAAGAATAGTCTAAATAATTTCATGGCCTGTTAACCAAAAGAGAGCTTAAGTTCTGGGACATGGACCAGGCTACCACTGATAATGGTATCTGAACTGAGTGGTGTCTGGAGGAAGGGTCATACTATGCTGGCTGCTCTGATTTCCCACTGTAGATTGCAAGACCAGATGATTAAGAGTGCATTAGATAATCTTCTAACATAACATTCCCTACAGGCAGTTACTGGCATTGCTGTAGAGACATCCTGAACGACGTGTTGGAAAAGGAAGTGCACAGGACAGTCTCTCTACATTGTGAACATGTTTGAGACCCCCATGCAAAGCTGTGCTCTGTTCTGACTCCAAGTCTCCTCAGACATGGCCGAGGAAAATGCATGTGAGTGCTGACCTGGGGGCACCTTCTGTTGTTCTATTTGCACCTGCTTGTACTTTTTCAACACCTCTCCCCTCTCAAGCACTGCCACTCTCACTGCAAATGAGTCTGGAGACCCTGACTCCAGCACAGCCAGGAGCTGAGAAACATCTCATAGTTGGGTGAATGGGGTGAAAATTTCAGATTTGGGTGGCATTTCTTTTTCTGTCAGTTTAGTGTGAGTGGCAGTGGAAAGGCACAAGCTCCCTTCTCTCACTGATGTGGTGTCAGCTGGGAAATTACTCTACTGAGCCAAGCAGAGTGACATAAGCATAAGATCAGTCAGAGAGGGATCAAGCCCAGCAAGTCGGGAAGAGCTGAGGCCCTGGGCTGAGTGTCTGGAGATGAGCTGCCCATGCTCAGTCTGGAGGAGAGTCCTCCAGAAAGGGACTGGCAGCTCAGCTAACATTGGTTCAGAGAATGGGAATGTGCAGAGACCTCAGGAATGAGTCAGGAAGACAGAAACCTGTACCTGCCTTTCCTGTGAACCACTGACCCTCACACAACACCCTGCTCCAGTGTTGAATCCTGGCTGCTGTTCCTGTGCATCCAGCTGCTTTGGGACAGCAAAAAGAAGAAAAAAAGCAGAGCCAGCAGCTCACCTGATCAGGGGTTTCAGGAAGAAGTTGCCCGGCCTGACTTGCAGTAGATTCAGGGACTTACTTTGGAGACTGTCTCTAGGGCAAGTCTGAACCAGCCAGTGGCACCTAATTTTCCAGGGAGGTAGAAAAGCCATAGAGAAAAAAAAAAAAAAAGTGCCAATAGAAGTTTGGGGATAAAGAGACATAGTGTTGCTGGCCAAACAAGGCTGTGAATGGAGACGTATCTGCCACATCCCGTTTACGTCCAGTAATGGGGTGGGCAGTAATGGCACCTCCAGTAATGGCAGTGGGACCCAAGGACCTCACGAGGATCCAGGAAGGCTTCTGTGAAGACATCCTGAGCAAGGAAGGGGGTGCTGAATAGGACAAGGCAGCGAGGGAGGCATGGAGAGCTGGGGCCCGGTTAAAACACAGGTGTAAAGTAAAAAGGGCATCAGTGTGTCTTCAGCTCAACCTCCCTCTTCCCCCTTGCTTCCATCTCATGTCCTTCCTGGAGCTCCAGGCAAGTTTATCAACTTACACCCAAATGCAGTAGAATCACCAAGGTTGACAGGGTTTTGGTTTAATTAATTCTGGACCCTGACATGGCAGCCCTCCACCCTGGCACTCGTTTGCAGGGCTGTCATGGCTGATGCAGGCTTCCTCATGGCTTAATAAACCAGCACCTTGGAAGTCTGGGCTGAATTCACAAAATCATAGAATTGTCTAGGTTGGAAAAGACCTTTAAGGTCATAAGATTCAACCATTAACCTGTCACTGCCAAGCCCGCCTCACAAAGCGGGTTATCCTCCCAGAAGTGTGAGTGGACACGCTGTGTCCCAGTGTCCTCACTTGTGTGACCTGTACTGGTGCAATACTGGGACTTGTGGGGACATCTCCTGAGGTTTCCTCCTCCTGCACCCCAGCAAAGGGAAGGGAGGCTGTGGGCTGACTGGGAGCAGCTGGTGATGGGTGTCTCCATGTGTGTCCTCATGGCAGTAGGGCAGTCCCCAGGTCAGGTCAGATCCACGCTGCTCCCCAGACAGACCAGGAGCCAAGTCCTAGATTTGGGAGAGGCTCAAGGCAGCATTCCCTGAGTTCCCTCTGCACAGAAGATACGCCCTCACAGAGCTGTCTTTTTATTTGCAAACTGAGCAGTTGTACTGGAAGAGATTTAGCAAACATGGGACTGCACAATGCTGTGTGTACTGAGTCACACATCAGGGCTGGAGCCAGCTAGCACTGTGAGCTACTGAGGCAAACATTTGAGAATAGCTACAATAGGCACCAAAAATATCTTCAGATGAGATCTTTCTGAGTTGCTGCACATTGGTTAACAGGGAGGGCTGACAACCTAAGGAAGGGCTGACAACTTACACTCCAACCACATGCTCTAAAGCTCATCCTGGGCAAGCCAAGCTACTGGGAACGGGAACAAAACAGAGGAAAAGCAGGTTTTTGCTTGAAAAGGGAGCTCTGATTAGCCAACTTCACATGGGCTGGGAAAGTTCTGGCTCTGGCAAGGCTCTAGGGATTCACCCTGTGATCCTGGCTCTGGCTGCATTCCAGAACTTATACCATGCTGTTGGATCTGCAGCTCACACCTGCACAGGGCCAGGACAGGATCAGTTCCTACAAGATGTCTTCTGTCTGTTTTTAAAGTTCCCAAGCAAGGGACCCAGTCTTGGAGACCCCTGTAGAAGGTCTCTGTATTGCAAGATTTTTTCTCAGGGATTTGTTCTATGGTTGTTCTTTCCTCTCTACTACTCTTTTAAAATAAAGGAGCCACTTCCCCAAATCTCAGCTCTGATTTCTGAGACATGATTCCCCAAATGCAGATTTTTGGGGCTTGTTCAGTCCATCTCAGCAGAATGAGAGAACAGGCAGGGGAGGTTCTTGGTGCTGTCTGATGTGCACATGGAGGGCAGGGCTGGTGGTGACCACTGAATCTGATCAGCCTCCTGCCAGGTGACCCTTTGGCATCCTTTCCCCAGTTCCCCAAACCCTTTCCTTGCACCCTGCTGCTCTCTACACCCTCGTGCTGGGGCTGGGATCACACCTTGGCCTTGCTGTGGCCGCTTCCTGCCTTCCAGCACACCATCTCTCCCCCTGGTTTTGCAGCCGTTTTTTCTGCCAGCGCAGGGCACTGAAAAGTGCTGGCACTGCCAAAAACCCTGTGTGCACTACGACTCCCCAAACATCCCTTTATTTTTATTGTTCTGTTAATTACTGTTTAAACTTTAATAAGTCACTTCGTCAGGAGGGGGGACCTGCAGTGAGGTTTCTGTGCAAACACTGGGCCTGGCGGTGACTCTGGTGTAACATAACCCTTTATACAATGTGGGAATGTTTAGACTGTAACAGAAACTTGTTATTTTAATGACAGTTAAAGGGGGAAAAAAAAGAAAGGCGCGAATGAAAAAGGGAAGCAAGTTTGTTGGGGAAATGGCTCATCTCAATCTCTCTGTCTGGCCTCTTTTCTCTTGGCTTTAATGATATCTGGATAAGAAAGCTTTATAGCTTCAGTTGAGGCAAGTCTTGTTCCCAGAGATGCTCTATACAAGGCTCTATGTGATCCCTTCAGTTCTGCAGGGTGAGGCCAACAGCAGAGAGATGCTGATGGAAGCAGCATTGCTTGATTTTGCTCAGACACAGCAGCAGATGCCTAAAGCCAATTTGAGCTCAGTGTAATTATTCTGACCCACACAAGAGACTTTCCCCTTCTATTCAGAGCTTCTTCCACTATGCTGACACAGATGCTGGCATGTCATACACAGGAGTGTCCAACATCCCATGGAAAAAATGGACCTTGAAGCAAGGAGATGATGTTTCATTTTGACTCCATAAAATGAAGAATCATGGAGACCTGAGAGAGGGAGACAGCCTGGCTCACACTCCTGGCAGTGGGTGAACAGAGGATTCACAGGCATCCTTGATTTTGGACTGTGACTTCTGACATCTGCATTGCTTTGAGGTGGAGAGTGACTGTGCAGTGGCTGCTGTCCCCACACCACAGCACTGAAGTCACCTCCAGGTTTTGCTTGGCTATATTTAGCACTCACTATAGACAAGACCATATAGAGTGATGTATATGATCTGAAAACCTTCAACTCCTGCTGACCTCTTCTGCTGCAGTGAAATCCCCCAAATCTGTACAGTCTTGAGTGAAGAGTGATGTGAGACCAGGACAAGGGAGAGCTCCCATGTTTTCCCTGACAGAATTCCATGTTCTCCCTCCCCAGGCTGGTCACCAGTCCCTGGCAGGGCTGGTGCTTTGGGAAGCTCAGCTTCTTCTGCCAGATCTGGCTGTTGGGCCCACAGGGAGTGACAGTAAAGAGGTATAAAGAGGGTATGGCAGTGCAGACTAGGGCACAAGAGCTTTGGCAGGAGATGCCAGGGAGGAGAAAGGTGGAACAGCGCTGGGAACTTGAGGAAAAAAGAAGGGAGAAGAGCGTCCTATGGCCAAGGCCAGCAACTGGGATGGGAAGAGGGGCACAAAGGGCAAAACTTTGGAGTGGAGGAGAGGTTAGAAGGGTGTGGGGTGTAAGGAGCACTTTGCTGGAAGAAAGAACTTTCCCCAGGCTGCCAGTCCAGTTCCTCTGTGCAGGGCCCTTCTCTCCTCTTCGCTAAATTTGTGGCCAGATCAGGAGCCTGGGGGACTTGCACTCCATAAAGCTTTTTGGTCAGGGTGAGTGTAGGGTGGGGTGGGAGGGGATGAAACCATGGGCCTCTGGGGAGTGTGTGTTTTCCCAAGTGGGTGAGCATGCAGGGAGCAGGCCAAAACAGCTCATGCTTTCCTCACTCACTGCTGGGGTTGTGATTGTTATTGATTGGGTTTGCTGTTCTCGGCACTTTGTGTTTTTCCAGCTGAGCATTGGCTGCCCCTGGAATTTTTTATTTTTTTTTTTACCCTCTGTTTTAGTTCAAATACCCACAAACATGTCAGATGGGGCAGGTGTATGCCCAGCTCTGTGCCAGCCAGGTCTGCAGGAGCTGAGCCTGCACTGGGGCTGTACAGGGCTGCGAGAGTGCAGGGGTCTGTGAAAGGTGCCAGTAATGTGCAGACCTGCTGTCAGTAGGATTAAATTCATAGGTCTGTATTATCTCTGCATCTATATCATACAAAAAGGGTAAAGAAATCTGCTCTTGTATGAAAACCACTGTCAGGGCTTCACGTTGGAGCAAATCAGAGGGATGTGCACAGGGATTCCCATGCTTGGGCACGTATAACTTACGGCTGACTTAGGGTGCATAAACTTCAACCTCATAGCCAAAGGGCCAAGAGAAGCTGGAGAAGTAGTTTTGTTTCATTTCCAACATGTGGTCATGCCTTTCAGATCCCACCAAACTCCTCATGTTGGGCTGTTCTCCCTCCAGCCGTGC